TGCTTATTTCGGTTGTAAAAGTTATGTACATTTTAATGAATAAATTCTTGTTTATATTGCAATATTGAACTAATATTTGTTCATTTTTATCTTTTTAAAGATATGGAGTTAACTGAAATTTCTCCAAATGGCTTTGAACAATGTTTAATAGACAGTGCCACAACGCACACCATTTTGAGACATAGAGATTATTTTTCTCATATGACATTAGTTGATGCTAATGTCAATACAATCTCAGGTGTTGCTAAACTCATTGAAGGTTCTGGAATAGCCTGTGTAATTCTCTCAAAAGGGACAAAATTAATAATTAAAGATGCTTTATACTCCAGTAAATCACGGAGAAATCTTTTGAGTTTCAAAGATATGCGTCTAAATGGTTTTCACATTGAAACCATGTCTGAAAATCAAAAGGAATATTTATGTCTAACGACAAATAGATCTGGTAATAAATACATTTCAGAAAAAATGCCAGCATATTCCTCCGGACTATATTATACATATATCAGTCCAATTGAGATAAATGTTGTATCTAAAATTAATAACCACAATTCCTTTATCTTGTGGCATGACCGTTTAGGTCATCCAGGCAGCACTATGATGCACAAAATTATTCAAAATTCACTTGGACATTCATTAAATAATGTCACAATTCCACAATCAAGTGATTTCTCATGCACTGCCTGTTCTCTTGGCAAATTAATTATCAGGCCATCTTTATACAAAATTGGACTTGAATCTCCTGCATTTTTAGAAAGAATTCAAGGAGATATTTGTGGACCAATTGCCCCTCCATGTGGACCCTTTCGATACTTTATGGTGCTCATTGATGCATCAACACGTTGGTCACACGTCAGTCTTTTATCGACTACAAATTTTGCATTTGCAAATCTCCTTGCTCAAATTATTCGTTTGAGATCACAATTTCCGGATTTTTCAATAAAGAAAATCCGACTTGATAATGCAGGGGAATTTACATCCCAATCTTTTAATGACTATTGCATGTCAATTGGGATTGATGTGGAACATCCAGTTCCACATGTGCATACACAAAATGGTCTTGCAGAATCCTTAATTAAGCGATTACAATTAATTGCTAGACCATTATTGATGAAATCCAGATTACCATCATCTTCATGGGGATATGCTATAATGCATGCTGCAAATTTAATTCGGCTCAGGCCAACTGCATATCATAAATTTTCCTCATTGCAATTAATATCTGGTAAAAAACCAAATATATCACACATAAAAATATTTGGTTGTTCTGTGTATGTACCAATTGCTCCATCTTATCGTACTAAAATGGGTCCTCAAAGAAGACTGGGAATTTATGTTGGTTTTAAATCTCCCTCAATTTATTAATTATCTAGAACCTATGACTGGTGACTTATTCACCGCACGGTTCGATGACTGTCATTTTGATGATACAGTATTCCCAGCCTTTGGGGGAGATAATAAAGAAATGGACCCACGTACGAAAGATATTACTTGGAATGCAACAGATTTATCTTTTCTTGATTCTCGCACAAATGCTTGTGAACAAGAAATTCAAAAGATCATTCATTTACAAAGTGTTGCAAACCAATTGCCTGATGCTTTCACAGACTCAAAGAAAGTGACAAAGTCACATATTCCAGCTATGAATACTCCTTCTCGAATAAAAATTCCTGCGGAGATTAGCGAAAGAACTCTTGCTAATGAATCTATGATACGTAAAAAACGTGGTAGACCACTTGGTTCAAGAGATTTGAAACCAAGAAAATTTAAAAAGCAAGATGTAGTTTGTGATGCCAAAGAAGTTCATCCTTCTCAAGAAGAAAATGAACATTATGATAATATCGGCATTGAAGATAACATCAATAATAAGGATACATCAAAAGAGGATTCAATCACCTTTGAAGAGGTAAATATTCCAGATAAAGATAGAAACATTGATAATTTTGAAATTTCAATCAATTACGTTTCTAATGGAATGCAATGGAATAGAAAATATATTGATGTTAACGATATATTTTCATATGCCATCGCCACAGATATAATGAATAAACACGATGACAATGAGCCTAAATCTATTGACGAATGTCATCGTAGAAACAATTGGCCAAAATGGAATGAAGCGATTCAGGTAGAACTAAAATCGCTAGAAAAGCGTAATGTTTTTGGACCAATTGTTCACATGCCAAAAGGCGTAAAACCTGTAGGTTTTAAATGGGTGTTTGTGCGTAAATGCAATGAGAAGAATGAAATCGTTAGATATAAAGTCCGACTTGTTGCCCAAGGTTTTTCTCAAATGCCAGGAATCGATTATGATGAGACGTATTCTCCAGTAATTGATGCTACTACTTTACGATTTTTAATTGGCATGTCTATTTTTGAAAGGCTGGAAATGCGGCTAATGGATGTAGTGACCGCATATTTATATGGTTCACTCGATACAGACATATATATGAGAATTCCTGGAGGCTTTAAAATACCTGATGCTTATAGCTCGAAATCTAGAGATTTATTTTCCATAAAATTGCAAAAGTCATTATATGGATTAAAACAATCTGGACGCATGTGGTATAACCGTCTAAGTGAATATTTGATTAAAGAAGGATACAAAAATGATCCTATTAGTCCATGTGTTTTCATTCAGCAATCTGAATCAGGATTCGCTATAATTGCAGTATATGTTGATGATTTGAATATAATCGGAACTCCCAATGAAATTGAAAATACTGCTAAATATCTCATGAAAGAATTTGAAATGAAAGACCTTGGGAGAACAAAATTTTGTCTCGGCATTCAAATTGAACATTTGAGAAATGGTATTTTTATCCACCAATCAAATTATACCGAGAAACTTTTGAAGCGGTTTTACATGGAAAAAGCTCACCCACTCAATTCCCGATGGTGGTTCGATCTCTCAATGTGCATGATGATCCTTTTCGACCTTGTGAAGATGATGAAGAAATCTTTGGTCCCGAAATACCATATTTGAGTGCTATTGGAGCGTTAATGTATTTGGCTAATAATACACGACCAGATATTGCTTTTCTGTAAATTTATTAGCCAGGTACAGTTCTTCTCCGACAAGAAGACATTGGAATGGCGTCAAACATATATTCCGCTATCTCAATGGTACAATCGATCTTGGATTGTATTTCAAGAATGGTGCAAATGCCACTTTAATTGACTATGCCGATGCAGGATACTTGTCTGATCTGCAAAAGGCAAAATCACAAACAAGATATGTATTCACCTATGGTGATACCGCTATCTCATGGAGATCGATGAAGCAAACATTAACTGCCATATCATCAAATCATGCAGAATTAATTGCTCTTTATGAAGCAGGTCGAGAATGTGTCTGGTTGAGATCAATGATCCAGCACATACAAAATGAATGCGGTATAAAATCTTTTACTTGTAATCATACTGTGATTTATGAAGATAACACAGCATGTAGAGCTCAGATCAAAGGAGGTTACATCAAAGGGGATAGAACAAAGCATATAGCACCAAAACTTTTCTCCACACATGATCTTGAGAAAGAAGGAACAGTTGATGTCAAACAAATCAAGTCCTGAGACAACCCTGCTGATTTATTCACAAAGTCATTGGCACCGAAGAAATTTGAAGAACTGGTCCACAAAATTGGAATGTGTCGTCTTCGAGATATATGTTAAATTGAGGGGGGAGTAATATAATGCACTGCACTCTTTTTCCCTTCGTCGAGTTTTTATCCCATTGGGTTTTTCCTGACAAAGGTTTTTAACGAGACAGTACATTATAATACTATGAAACTAATACCCATGAATAATTGGAAGATGACCATTCAAGGGGGAGTGTTGAAATATAATGAATTAGTCATCTCCTAACTATTCATGATTAATAAGTCATTATTATCATTATCAAGATAATCTAGAAATCACAATTGAGATTTCTAGATAATGATTATGTGGCTAATATTAATCCCTCATCTTGAGCTAATCGCTTGTTTAGCCTATAAATAGAGGCTCTTTGCTTCATTGTAAATACACTTTGATTACACTATTATCACACTCTCTAATACTCTCAATAACATAAGTCTTCATACTATATTTTCTCTCCCTGATCTTCTACTTATTTCCTTCCATTTCATAACATATATGTATTTGTAATATGATTTTAAAAATATATATGCATATTCATATATTGAACAAGCACGTCAGAACATCATGAGTCAACACTAAAATTGGGATACGCCTAATCATGTGCACAAGGCGGGTGACTTGCCCATTTGAAAGACGGGTTGATGAACCCACTCAAAACTCATATATGACTTGTTTCTTTACATGTCTTGCTAGTCACAATTATTCGTTCTCATATCTTAACTCTTCTTGCGCATTACAACCTCACTGGAAGCGCGTGGGCAAAACAATGAAAAAACTTGGGACTAGATTTTTGTTCTTTGTAATAGGTGCGATGACTATATGAGTATTGTGATTTTCAACCCTACATTTATAATGAATCAATTTCACTTTTCCTGCTATGAGTTTTATGAATTAATAATGTTTATTGATCATTTCTGGTCTTTTCGTCCAATTTTCCGACTCTCTCCAATGATTTTAACCAATAGAAGAAGAGAAAACGATCAAATAAGAGCTTCTACTATTATGAAATAGTCACATTAGGCTATGTACTCAATAAAGTGTCATATAAGTACCTTTACTTGTAAAAAGCAATCAAATGAGTCATAATGACTTATTTAACACCTCTTAATCCCGATTTCAACGTACTTCTGACCATCTTTTTAGAATATATTATTATACGGCATATGTCAAATATTTAACTAAGTTTGGTTGAAATACAAGTCAAAAAATCAACATATGGGCTAAAATCGGGATTAGAATGCGTGAAATAAAACGTTATGACTCATTTGATTGCTTTATACAAGTAGAAGTACTTGTAAACACTTGAATACCTGACCTTACCTGACTATTTCTTAGAGAGACTTATTTAACTGCGGTCTTCAGATTTCACTCCGGAATTCATCCTGCCCCTTCTCGGCTTCTCAGTCCAGGCGTCCAGCAGGCAGCAATCTCACTCGTCACTTCCTCAGCTTTCTGTTGAAGTGGTGCGCCGCCCTTCTCACCTCCAGGCTTGACTGCCTCACCGCTTCAGCCTTCAGGTACTCCTCCGGCCTCCTTCCTTATTCCTCAATGGCTCAAATGTTTTAGAGTTTTAGAGTTTTCTTTTATTGATTAATACGATTTTATTTGATTTAATTCATAGTTGTTTAATGTTTATAAATGAATAGTTGATGAACAATTATTTGATTTAAATGCTGTTGAATGTTAATAAATGTTTAATTCATATTCTTAATTGTTGATTGCTATCTTGGTGATGAACAATTATTTGATTCATATTCAATAATTAAATTTATAAATTTAATTAATTTCAAGGTGTAATAAAAATGGTTGTTTCTGGATGGAAGAATGGAAAAGTGGAAAATTGTATACAATTAACAATGTCTCAAAGAAGGCTTAAAGGATTAGTAATATTAAGCATTGAGCATTATGTCTTATAAAAGATTGATTATGAAGGCGTCGCTTATGACTTCGCTTCACAATGCTTTGCGAGAATTGTATTTAGGTAATTTTTAATATTTTTTTACTTTCAAACCATGATTCTACTATGTTTAGTTTAGTTAATTTAAGTCTTCTCTTTATTCTTTATTATAAAGGTCTTGAAATGTTATTTTTACATATTTCGGATTGAAATTTCTCCTACTCCTAAGCTGTGGGCGGAAATGTCATGCCAGCAAAATTTTGAACTAAACGCCATACCTTTATCACTAAGCTATGCATCACACGAATCCTCATATTTCACTCGTTTTTAAGGATTTGATTTGTATGAAAAACTCACTTGCTTGTTGTCTTCTTCCACTCCAATTTAAATGTTATAGATAAGATTAGCTATGAATGGTAGAGAGTTCAGTGGCTTTGGAAGTCATTCTTGTAGAGAAATCAATTTCATATAAAAATCAATGAGGTCTTAATCGACGCTTTCTACTTCTCTTCCCTTTTTGAAAAATAAAAGGGAAACATCAAAGAGAAACCTCGTCCAAACAGATATAGAGATTGCCTGTGGAAACCCGCAGGCAATCTCTATATCTTCATAAAATTTCTTATACATTTATACTTATTAATAATTACGGAGTATATATTATTAATGATTATATATGCATTTGTTTTGTTAGTTTAAAACTTTAAATTAAATACATTTATCTATTCTTTGAAATATAAAGTAATGCATTACAGCATTAGTTGTATTTTACATGACCCAATATATACACTTTAATGCTATCTTTTTTAGGAAATTTATTTGTTGATAGGCAGCCAGCTCAGCAGCCTTTATCATTTTTTCTGTGATGAATATCATTTTTTGTTTTTGTGGTGAAGTAATTCTCTGGATTAGCATTCCAATTCTTTATAACCCCCGATTTACTGGATTGCAGCTCCTTACGTGAGCCAAAAATACTCTGCTATGCTCTGGGTCTGTTTCTTCAATTCAGCTGACTTCCAAGGTGCAATCTTTCTCCACAGTCTTTTGTACTTCTGCTATCTCTAATAGTTGTTTGACTAAATGCATCACGTTGTTGGCAAACAAGTTAGGTTTTCAGTTATTCTGTAACTTTTAGAAGATGCACGATATGTTTTAGGTGATTAGGTCAGAAGACTATTTGGGTTCTGGTCTGTTAATGCACAGACCTAACAGGAATGTGACTGCTAATTGGCACTGCCTTTTTTATATAGTCCTGTTCCTGCCACAGCACAAGCTTAAAAGGTAATTATGGAAGAAATGTGGGAAACTTAAAAAAGTTAGGAGAAAAGTTATCTGGGAGAGAATTGAATTAGACTCCGATTAGTCTGATAAAGTAGTTTGTTACTTTGTTACAAGGGTCTTTAGTTAAACACTGCAACTTAGATTAGATGAAATTGAATATTTGAATATAAGGATTTTTTATCCCCCAGGCCCTCTGAGGACCTGGAAATCTGCGAGGCCCATGGCGGAATACACCTAGGCGACACAGTGGAATTATAAGATCATATTCACTAGTCCCCGGCCCCGGGATATAATATACCATTTACATTCAAATCAGCCTTGTGCTCAAAGTTGTACTCCTTCTAGATCCTAAGGAAACGTGATATTGTTTTGAATGGAAACGCCAGTGAATGCAAAGACGTAAATCTTGGTAGGCAAGAGAACATTCTCTCATGAAACCCATGACTGGATGCAATTCTGAAGTGCAAAGTTTTAGTCAAGACTTGGTTATGATTATGTAGTAGAACATCCGTTCATTCGTTTGTCTGAATCAAGAATTCAAATAACTATAGTCTGCTCTACTGGCACAATATTATATACGAAGTATTACATAGTTAATTAACCCCAAGGTCAAGAGCAACTGTTGAATGACAGTAAAGAAAAATAATCAATCTTATCAAAATAATCTCTGAAGTTGAACAAACCTTTGATTAAATGCTTCCTCGATCTCCTACTGGTTATTCACTTATTCTAACAGGCATTTTCTTTTTTCTTTTTATTTTGAATGGTCAATTGGTAGAGGGTTTTTAAGAAGTTAGACCCAAATGTTGATTTAGAAAAGTAGCAGCAGAGAGAAGTGAGTGAACATGAAAAGTAAGGGCACATCCATCCTTTTACAAATCACAAGTCGTCCCTTACTTACATGGCCAAGTGGAGTAACTATTTACTTATTTAACTTATTTCATTCAATGACCCCTCTCAGTACATCAAGTCTCAATCCTAAGCTAATAAGCACCTCGTTGCATCTCTGCAATCACTATTGATCTTCTTCATCCATTTTTCACCTGACACCTTTATCTTCCTAAATTAGATTTTTTTCTTCAACCAGCTCTCTTGACCTTTCAGATTGAGGAAAAAGACAAATCTTATTCTCATAAGTTCTTTGAAAACATGGGACGGAGTTTGCACTTCTAGGTCGAATGGTTAATTGCTGAATGTACCCAAGTCCCATTTTGGTAATTATCATCTTCTCATTAATGGTTTCCATTTCACTGTCAATGTTGACTTCGTAGCTCCCTTAAATCTTGATTCTTGACAGTAGTCATGTGGTCATTTTTTAGCTTGACTCAAACTCTTACCCTTTTTACTTAGGTCTCCGAGGAAACACAAGTCCATTTTGAATTTCCTCCGCACCTACCTCTAACGTCCATGGATTTTGATTCAACTTACGATACTGTTCGTGTGGCAAACATCATTTATGGCAAAGGCTTCACAAGAATAGCTCTCCAGGTTCTATTGACCGCTACTTATCCCGGTTGCAAGTTTTTAGCATGTTTCTTGTTTTAATGTGTACATATAAGTTATAAAATTTGAACTTCAGTTCCCTGATGAACTATTGAAGCATTCAACAAAAATAGCAGCGGCTCTGCACAAAAAGATACAATCACTTGGAGAGTCAAGTGGAGACACAAAGCACGTCAAATTGTATGTAATGGCCGATACTACTTATGGAAATTGTTGTGTTGATGAGGTTGGAGCAGCTCATGTGAACGCCGAGTGTGTTATTCATTATGGTCATACATGCCTTAGTCCGTGAGTAGACCATTTCTTCTCATTTTTCATTTTGCACAATCTAACAATAGTTGCAACTTGAATTTTCTGAAAACTGTTACTTTTATATTTCAGGACATCAAAGATTCCTGCATTTTATGTATTTGAGAAAGCCTCTATTGACGTGCCAAGTTGTGTAGAAAAACTATGTGGTTACATATCACAATGTGAAAAGCCAATTCTGGTAAAGCTTTTGCACTTTATTATTTTTGTTGGTTTTGTTTTGCTCATTGTCTTTTTAATAAATTGTCCTAATTCGATGTTATGAAACATGTAAAAGCTCTTATGTTATATAATTATATTTTTGATGAGTTGATGTATATTGATGTAGAAGCTCTTATGTTATACCCATGTTCATCCAATCAGTCATAACATTGAAATATGCAGATTACAAATGGTCCTAAATTTTTTGCATTTTTTTAAAATTCGGCTGAAGTGCTTTATGAAGGTGGTCGGAATTGCTTGTGAAGTTTGTGTGGCTCTAAACCATTCTTACTTTATTCTTACTTTATCAATTCAATATCAACCAAACAAACTCACTTTTCTTAATAATCGTGCCACCTTCTCTTGTCCCAATCTTAGTGGGGGGACGGAGGTAGTAATAGATTAGTTGGTTAAGCAAATGAGAATATTTTGGGTTTGTGATTTTTTTATGTAGGTTCTTTATGGGCTTGAGTATGCACATGCCATACCGAAGATCAAAGAACTTGCCATGGCAGAATCATCAAAATTGTGTAGCTCATCTAATTTGAAAATTTCATATGCTGAGGTTATAAGCTTTGTTACTAGTCCATCAAAAGGCTTTAGATCTGCTAATAAGAATCCTGAAGACGGTGACCGTGGAACTAGTAATGGAAGGCATTCTGGGGAAACAGATACAGCATGTGCTATAGGAGGATTGTCTTGGAGCATAACCAATGAACATAAAATAAAAGATTACTTGCTTTTTTATATCGGTTCATACAATTCAGCTTTTGCAAATGTATTATTGACATTCAACAGCTGTGAATTAGGTAATACTGGATATCTATTATATACAAAGTGCTTGCTTTGACTTCTTTTCACAAATAATTGATTTTGCCTGGCTACATCCGCTTTTCTGGAAATTGCATTGACAAATTCATTTGGGATAATCAGTAGGACTTTGGTATATTCTACTATGCTAGCAACCTCTATCATTAGATTCTTGATTCACAGAATTATTTTTGAAGATATGTATACTTGTATAGTTGTGTATGGAATTATTGCAAAATGGTAGAGCTTTGGGATAAACCTATGAACTTTACACATTAATTTACATAGGTTTTGATATCCTTGGATCTGAGATAATTGTATAGGTCTGTGTATGCATCCATTATACTGCTAGTTTTTTATGTAACATGTGATGCTTCATAGGCATAAATGAAGATAGTCTGTGTTTCTTTGACTGTATGTCTATTTGCTGCAAGAAGATTTTGTTTAGCTAATGTTCTTCCATTATTGTGCTCATATAATTGGTTTTACTCCCAGTCAGATATGATGCAGCTAAAGATTGGTTGGTCAATGACTTCTCTCTGCAGAACAAGATTCTGAGGCGTAGGTATGTCATGTGCTATTATGTTAAGCTCTTAGATACTATATGTAGTGCAAACCTTATGTTGGTATTTTGTTCTTTGCCTTGTCTTTTTTGACAGTAATTGATGTGTCTGACAGGTATTTTCTAGTTGAGAAAGCAAAGGATGCCAGCATTGTTGGGATCTTGGTGGGAACACTTGGAGTAGGTCGGTCGATCTATGCTTCACACAACTTCTTGCACTTTTTAATGTTCAGAATCATGCAAAATATCACTTCCCGGATACATCAAAGATGATTATAGACACTTAGAATCATTTTGTAATATTTGTACATGTACATTGAAGAAGATATTTATGCTACATGAGTAGTGCTAACTTCCTCTTGCTGACCACTGTTGGTCCAGCTGGTTATCTCCACATGATTCAGCAAATGAAAGATTTGATCACGAAGGCCGGGAAGAAAGCCTATATTTTTGTTATGGGCCGACCAAATCCTGCCAAGCTTGCCAACTTTCCAGAGGCATGTGACTTTACATTCCGTGTATATATACGTTTTCACCTCTGGTTCTGCAACGAGAAAGCTAACCCACTATTACGGTTTCTGCAGTGTGATGTTTTTGTTTTCGTTTCTTGTGCACAAACTGCTCTATTGGATAGTAGAGAGTTCTTGGCTCCCATTATCACTCCCTTTGAAGCAATGCTTGCTTTCAATAGGTATGGTCTGAAGAATATGCATACTTGTTGCGACTTTGCTGTTTGATAAAACGTATTACTTCAGGCTGTGTATAAGTCTTGTTATCTACTTTGTTCATTTCTAGAGGAAGTCAGTGGACAGGAGAATATGTGACTGAGTTCCGAGATTTGCTTGCTTCTTCTGTGGTGGAAGTAAATGACCAATCAGAGGAAGCACGGTTTTCGTTCATCCGTGGTGGATATGTGGAAGATTTAAACAAAAAAGGTTATTTTAACTCTTCCTCTCGAGCTCTCCTTCATCAGTCCTTTATTACGTATTCACATGATGGAAACTTATCATTAATACTTAAATCTATTTTTAAGTAAATAGGGAATCATGCCATGTTGAGTTGTGAAACTTTTATTGAATGGATTCGCATGATTGTTCTTTCTGCTAATGCTTAATTCAGACTTTTTTCCACATTTAATTCTCTGATTACTGAGGCAACAACACTTTTGGTACCTCTCTCAATTTTCACTCATAGTCATATCAATGATAGCTTTGGTACTCTTCTATGCACTTTACCTTAATGAATAGAAGTTTAAAAGCGTTGTCTCTAATTTAGCCCACTTCATCTGCCAATTGTGTGAGTGCCATTTGTAGTAATCATCTTCCATCTTTGCCGAAATAGTTGGAGGCCAGAAGTATTACTCTCATAATAGTCAGACCACTTAAATTTGAAATTTCAAAATTGATACAAAAAACGTAATGTATGGAAAGTTGGAGGATTTAGAATTGAAAATTGTCAAGATAAAGGTATCCCTTTTGGTCTTCTACAAAGCATCGATGTAAAACTAATTTTATTGAAAGTCATTTCCCCTGGAAACAAATGCAAACTCACATAACTCTCTATGCATTTGTCTTTCCCGTGCATTCGTGATTACTTTCAGATCATGTGCATATTCATTTTGTTGTCATATTTTTAACGGTTGAAATGGTTAACAATGGCATGAGCAGATCCTGTTGATTTGGAGGATGAAGTTTCTGCGTTAGTGAGCATTACCGAGAAAGCTCTACAAATTCGGGATAATTTAAAGGTGGCGGGAACAACAAAATCTGGAGCTGATTATTTTGCAGCGCGATCCTTCCATGGTCTTGACATGTATTATGAGAATGACATTTCAGAAACTCTTTTGATAGGTCGGAGTGGGAGGGCATCAGGGTATAAAGATGAGCCATCAAGATAGTAGGGTTAACCTTTCCAACATCAATTCCTTTCTAAGTTATCAGAGAGAAATAAAGCTAGATTGTTGATCAGGCAGGGATGTAGGTGAATTCTAATGAGAAATGAACCGAGAAGACAAACATGTATTAGAGTGGGACGTACTTTCTTTTGTGGTTCAATAACTATGAAGGAAAACTAATTCTTTGTTAGTTGTCCAACTCTTCTTACCAACATAACGATCGACTTAAACGTTTACTTTTTTATTGACTGCTTGGTGGACAAGTTTCGTCACCAATTTATGCATTACATTTGGGAAGTACACCGTTGTTTTATGTTGCTTCAACATAATACGCATCTCATCAGGAATGCAATAAATAGAATTTATAAAGTTTGTATAATAATAGTATTAGAGTTTAAAATCAATTCAATTATGTTTCTTTCTGTCTTTCGATTGGAGTAACATGTACAAGAGTGGACTTATGTCAGTTATGTGATAGAAGCTGAAATATACATGACACTTTTGAATGCTCCGACTCGACAGGATTGTGAGAAGGTTAATCACGGTGACTCAGTCAACAAAGCGACGGTAGGTCTTATACACGTGCGCACCAGAGGTCCAGCCATATTTCAGGTTCTTATTTCAGGTTCTGTAACCTCCACACGGTCGCTGCGGGTTTCGAACCTTGGTCACTTGGTCCAATTTTCTCACCACTCGATCAACTGAGCTACCCATGCGAGTACCTTTTTGGACCAAGTAATCTATTATTTTTTTAGTAATCTATTATTTTAAATAATTAATTATTTTAAATAATTAATTCAGGTTTTAGGTGAATGGAATTGTATGGTTAGGGACTTATGAGTAACTCATAAGAAGACAGATGATTGTAATGCACATTGTGGGCCTGTGCGTTCGTGTAGTGCAAAACATGTTAAATTCGTCATTTGAAGACACTATCTACTACATATGTATGATTATGAAAGTACAAATCCTAAGATTCGAGAGAAAATCTGTGTTAGGGTTATGGTGGCTTAACTCATTGTGACTTGTATTTTTCAATCTCTTTAATGCATTTTTTTCTTTTTTCATATTACATGTGTCAGTGTGTCACGTCCCGGACCGCATTCGAGCCATGTGGACAACCGCCGTACAACCCGATAAGAACAACAACAGTTCATCTCTATTGAATTGTACAAGGCGTCCGATTGATTCTATTGCCAAACCGATTAGTAAACACATATAATCAACATCAATATCATAATCAAACAAATGCAGAAATAATAATATGTTTGATACTTAGCCACACGTGGCAAACATGGGCACGCAGGGCCCCCAACCGTTTTAAGGAAAACATTGTTCAAATATCCATGAGCAGTTTATAATTTTCAAAATACAAATGGAAGCACGAACCACGTCTTCCTCCTTGAATGATCACCCTAGGCAAAGGTGCAGGTAGTAGGACTCTAGCCTTAACCTGAAAAATGTGAGGGCCCCCGGAGGGGTCAGTACTCCATAGAAGTACTAGTGACAAGCAGGCTATATGAAGAATAACTAATGTTTCAGACACGAGATCCAAAAATAGGGTGATACATACATATATATATACATATATATATATATATATATATATATATATATATATATATATATATATACATACATATATATATATATATATATACACACACATATATATATATATATATGTGTGTGTGTGTGTGTGTGTATATATATATGTCTCTCATCCACCCGATGATACATACTGTATATATACTCGTAAAATACTCAACCCGAATGTCATTTACCTTAAAGAGTCTTTTAGAGATAAAGTTCTTACATGACTTTTCTCACTCCTTTCCCGGTTGGCTAGCTCACAAGCTATAGTCTACCTTCGATTCATACTACCGAGTGTTTTAGGATCATTTACCGTCCAAGGCACTCAACCCAACCTGGAGTATTTAAGATCATTTACCGTCCAAGGGTACTCGGCCCCACCTGGAGTATTCTGGATCATTTACCGTCCAAGGGTACCCAATCCCACATGGAGTATTCTGGATCATTTACCGTCCAAGGGTACTCGACCCCACTTGGAGTATTCTGGATCATTTACCGTCCAAGAGTACTCAATCCCCAGTCTATCCTCTACCAAATCCTAACCTGGATATGACTAACTTTTCATTCCTTTAACTATGGACAATGCCTAGCCCTATAGTCATATAACAATTCTTAGGAACCATCGTGGGCGGGTCCCACCTGAACGGCCCACGTTAACCTACTCAAAAATGCCCGTTTTGAGCATAAACCCATACTCGATCGAGTATCTACCCATATTTGATCGAGTACAGGAGACAGTAGCCCACAAAGCTAATTTTCAAAGTATACCCGATCGAGTATCTACCCATACTCGATCGGGTATAGGAGGCAGTAGCCCCCTGGGGCAATTCTTCAGCAAATGCCCGGTCGGGTACGGGTCAATACCCGGTCGGGTATGCCAGTTGACTTGGCGGTCAACGCCCGTTTGACCACCCAAACGGAGTCCAATTAACGTGAAATTTTACACACATGTACTTCTTGACGTCCTCAATCCAAAAATACTATTTTGGATCCCTGGAACATCGCACATAATAATTTATCACATTTTTAATCATCAAACGTAAATAACATGCTTTTCAACTATGTTTTATATATAATCATGACATAAGCAAATACTTGATTATCCTCAATCATTCCATAAAACATATTTTTGATTACTTTAGGTAACATCATGCCTCACGCAAAAGTTATAAAGCATAAAGCCGTCTTCTCACCTTAATGAAGCTTATGAAGTTCTAGCCTTCCCGATTTAGCTCCGGCGAAACTCCAACGAACTTCAATGAACTCCGGCGACAACTCCGGCGACCCTTTCAACTCCGTGAAAGTTCCTTGAATACCCTAGACAAGTTAATGACAAGGTTTTATCATCATAAAACCCATAGTAATACAAATAAACTCAAAAAGGTTATTTTTCGGTGAACCGGTCACTTTGGCTTCTAAGTCTGTTCTTGGACTTAGAACTACCTTCCAATCCCTCATTCTACACTTCCAAACATGTAGAACAATAATAGGATGTGAAATATGATTGAATAATCATATAAGAGGATTGAAGAACAAGATGTGGGATTAATGGAGTCATTACCTTGTTAAACACAAGTTTTCCTCTCCAAAGTCAACTTTTCTCTTCTCTTTTCCCCTCCTTCTTCCTCCTTAGCTCAAGTGCGTGAATGGTGGATGTTGTGAAGTATTTTCAGAGCTCATATCTCAAAAATGAATGGGTTGGCCGAGCTGGAGGGTTAGGTTGATGATTGAGAATGCCTTTTTGGCATTTCTCCAAAATAATGTCAAGAGTGAGGTCCACCTTCCTATTGATTGGTCTTCCGATCAATTCCTCCTTGCTTCTCCAGGTCATTGTGCGGCTCTCCTTGATATTTTCAGTACCAAATTCGTGGGGTGGCCCCCACTCATGTGGGAGGTCATCCCTTTATGTCCCCAAGTGTACAATCGATCCCGAAAGTTGTATTTTCCGGACTATTTTAATTATATTTTATTTTATCGGGTCAAATAAAATATCGCACATGCTCTCCATCATTATTGGACTTTATAATGAATATACATTCCTCAACTTTAATTTAGAAATCTCCGAAATCCTTTTTCGGGCTATTATCTGATAAATTGTCGATACTGATAATTGGGCTCCGTTCCACCAGCCGGTCCACTCTATGCCATTGTCACGGCCCAATTAGAATACCCACCACCATATACATATTACCTAGGCCAAGATTAATATCATATGCGGTCCCGATAATATCGGACGGCCCCCGCTTCCGATGTGGGCCCCACGTGAATTTTACTATTCACGCAAAAGAAATGATAAAAATTTACGATCTCGTAAAATGCGTTTATTCGTTTCTCAAGGTCTAATACATAATTTGATAAAGTACAATTACTTGGGGACAATGTTACAACATGCACTACTGACTACTCTGTATTTGATACTCTCTCCGTCCCCCTGTTATCGTCTCATTTCCTATTCACTTGGTCAACACAAATCACTCTTAATCTCTTACTTTATTTATCAAATTTTTATCAAATTTGATTCTGGTTTTTGCGACTTTATAAAACTTTTAATGTAGTTTCTGAATATGCAAAAAAAAAATCCTAAAAATAATTCTAGTGCGGACAGGGGTCTGTTTGCTTTATCGTCAGTCAAGCATCGTAAATCGCAATGGGACAATAACAGGGGGACGGAGGTAGTATTTGATATTTGAATATTTTCATACGATGACTGATATATGGCCTAGTGCATAGCAGGGCCGGTCCCGAGCAAACGGAGGCCCTGTGCAACAATAAAATTTGGGCCTTTTTTCAAGATTAAACGCAAGCAAATTGTCTTACAATACAAGTTACTAATAAATGTAATAATTAAAATGAAAAAAGTCATTAATAACTTACATTTTATTTAAAAAGAGACATTCTTCGAGCATATTTAGATGCGAAGTCATCTACCAAACTTGCAATGTCAATCTCTTCGAGTGTTTCAGATTCTATGGATATCAACGCCAATCCATTGAGTCTCTCTTGTGACATAGTTGACCGCAAGTAGGACTTCAACAACTTCAACTTGGAAAAACTTCGTTCTGCTGAGGCCACTGTAATCGGAATGGTTAGCAAAACTCTGTACGCAATAAAGGCATTTGGAAAACAATTCATTTCTTTTAAAGAATTCAAAATTCTTGTTGCCCCTATCTTTTCCTTTGGCAAAATCTCTCTAAGCAACTTCAGCTCATTATACAAATCGTGGCCATCAACATCGCTGCATTGCCCATCCCTCTGCAGTACTGTTTGTAAATGAGTGCAAGATGACTCCAAATCTAAATCCGTAAGAGATTGTAACTTCTCAGAATTGAACAAAAACCCAAACATATTTTCATATACTTTGTATTGCTCAAACCTCCGTGTCAATGAGCCAATTGATTGATCAACTATGTAGACAAAGTATTCCACTCTGAACAGCTCTTTTGGTGTTGATGTGGATGATACAGAAGATTCACCAACACTCTCATCAAATTGTTTTTTTCTGCGAATTACACGCTTCTGAGGAAACACTGGTTCAACTTCCAATTCACTGGCTATTTCTTTAGCCACATGCATAGCACTAGAAAAAACGAGTTTCTCTATACTTCTCAAAAAAAGAAATTAGCCCTTTGACTTCAACAATAGCAACATCAAGAAGCATATCTTTTGCTTGTAGATTTTTGCTCACCAAATTAACAGCATATAAAAATTCAAAATTACAAAGATCATTTGTAGCTAAGGATCTAGCTTCACTTTGTATTTTAGAATCATTGTCTGTCTCGCCCAATTCTAGGAATGCTTCTCGAATGTCACTTATTTGAAATCTTATTGCTTTGACACTTTCCACACGACTTTCCCACTGAGTGGTTGATAAGGATTTTAGAGTCAATCCTTGGACATTGTTTTTTAAAATTTGCCATCTTTTTGTAGAATTAGCAAAGAGTGTGTAGATTCGTTGCACTACTCCAAAAAAATCTCTTGCTTTTCGAGAACAATTAGCAATGTCACACAAGGTCAAATTAAGGCTATGACTACCGCAAGGAGTATAGAATGCCCTAGGATTTACATCCAAGAGTCTTTTGTGCACACCTTGATGTGTACCTCTCATGTTTGATCCATTATCATATCCTTGTCCTCTAACATTATCAATATCAAAATCAAGAGACTTTAACACACTTTGCAACACTTCAAAAAGGCCAAGTCCTGTCGTGTCATTCACAACCAAGAATTCCAAGAAAAATTCTTCTATTTTAATCGGATAAGAGGAGATATCAACACATCTTAATATCAAAGTCATTTGTTCTTGGTGACTCGAATCAGGAGTACAATCAAGTATGACAGAAAAATATTTAGATTCTTTGATTGTTTTAATGATCTTAGATTTTACTCCTGAAACAAGCATCTCTATCAATTCATTTTGAATCTTATGACTAAGATAATGATGATGAGTATCCTTATTGTCGACGCGACGAATAAGCTCTTGAATAACAGGATCAAATTCACCCAGCATCTCAATTAATCCTAAAAAATTCCCATTATGATTCTGATGGAGCCGCTCATTCGTTTCACGAAAGGCCAAATTATGCTTAGCAAGATATTTCACAGTTGCAATCACCCTGAACAACAATTGCCTCCAAAACTCTTTTTCTTTCAAAAGTTGATCATGAGCTACTTTATCAATTGTCTCATTTTTTTGTAATCGAAGCCTCAACTCTACCCAACTCCTCGTGTTACCCATATGCTCCACACCTGTTTCATGTTCTCTCAGTCCAGCACTAAGATGTCCCCAATCATCAAAACCCGTGTTAGCTAAAGAACCTTTGCCTACACCTTTTCTAAAAATCTTACAACAGAAGCAAAATACCCTATCAAGCTCCTTTGAATAAACAAGCCAGTCTCTATCACATTTCTCTCCATTAGGCAAACTTCTAGTGTAAAAAGCTGATGAGAATCTTCTAGAGAATTTATCTTTAGGCCCTTCCACAAAATTTAAATCTCTTTTAGGACCATTCTCTACCAAAGTGTCTGTCAACTTTGAATCTAGAGCATCCCAGTTTCTTGGATCATATATGTCAAATAAAGCAGAATTATTTGGCCTATCATCTAAAACATCAATTCTGTGGTCCTCTTTATCAGAATTCTCAGTCATTTAGTTAACACATTGATCAGGTATTTCAACATTATTTTCAACATTCACTTCTTGTTGGTCATCATCTTGAACATCTCTATCTTCTTTAATAATAAGCTTATCAAGAGCTCCTTTTTGAGATTGGGTTAACTCCTCAAGTCTTCTTTTCCTTTGACGCTTTTCATGACCGGATTGGTATTTATATGGAAACATAATTATTACCAATTATTGAAATTCTCCTATAATCCTGTACATGTTTATAAATTTTAAATTAATATTAAGTTTAAAATTAGGGTGAAAGCATGATTTACTTTAAATGCAAAAAAACAACAAACAACAACAACAATTCAACAAACATTAAATCTGAAAATAAACAAATTACAAGATTTCAACAAACAATTCATCAATTCAAATATTCAATAAATTGAAATTTCACAAGAATTAGCAAATTAGCAACTAAATGAATAAAAATTATAAAAGAATTAGCAAATTAGTAACTGACCGGAAGGACGGCGTCTGAGGGAGGCCGGAGGGCGGCGGAGCCGTGTCGGACTGCGCGCAGTTGAAGTCGAGTCGTGGTCCTCGTTCCTCGACTCCTCGTGGAGACGGGAGAGCAGCCGACTGCCGAGCGGTGTCCCTTTGCCGGTGTGCACGGCGGTCTGGCGAACTGGGCCGAGTGGCGCGGCGGCGTGGCGGACCGGCGGGCGGCGGTGTCCCTTGACGAGTTGACGGCTTGACTCCCTTTGGTCTTTGTCGGGAAGACGCGAAGACAGGACCAGGGGAAAAGACCGAAGACGGATTTGAGGATTTTGAGGGCTGGGGAATTGATTTGGGCTAAAAACAAAATTTTGGGGTTGGGTAATACTAATTTTTTTGGGCCCTCCAAAATACCGGGCCCTGTGCGATTGGGCTGGGCAGACAGGCCCAGGGCCGGCCCTGGTGCATAGAGTAAATGACGAAACAGAGTAAAATTGGGGCAGATGTTTCCAAATTTGAGTGAGGTGTGCGTTCACTTGGCTCGTGTCAGTGGGGTTAAACATTTCGGAGTTGACAGGCTCGAAACCAGAACAACAGCTTAAATTTGGATATGAATTTTTGTATAAATAATAGCTCCCCCTCCGCCCATAGTTTCAATGCACACAACCGAACAAACAAGGTCAATAGCTCCACCTACCCTTCATTATTTGTTAATAAAAATACTTTATCAGATAAAAATATTCCCGACCAGATAAAATATCTTTGAATAGATATTCACTCACTCCGCAACTAACACCACTATTTCCAACCACCTTAATAATGTCTCTGATCAGATAAAAAAAGTATTTTATCAGATAAAAATAATCTCGGTCAGATAAAATATCTCTAAATAGATACTCACCTACTCCACAACTAACACCATTATTTCCAACCACCTCAATAATGTCTCTGGAGTCTGGTCAGATAAAAAAAGTATTTTATTAGATAAAAATATTCCCGGTCAGATAAAATATCTTTCAATAAATATTCAGCCACTTCGCAACTAACACCATTATTTCCAACGACCTCAATAATTCACATCTAACACTCACTATATAAGCAACACTTCACACACTAATTCTTATCACTCACTTCACTCACACCTTTAACCTCACTTTTAAAACGCGTATTTTGATCGAAATTCGGGACTGATGCGCATATATAGAGTACAATATTTGTCATTTAAGTTGTACTCCCTCCGTCTCATTGGACTTTGACATCTTTCCTTTTTTGGTTGTCCCAAAAAACTTTGTCACTTTCCCGTTAAAGTAACTATTTTGTGGTTCTACTCATTTCTCTCTCCTCTGCACAAACTTCAACCACACAATTTTTACTATTCTTATTTCTCACCTAATTTAAGGAGTGCAAAGTCCATTGGGACGGATGTAGCATTATTTTTAATTATGTTGAATAAGATATAATTTATAACAAAAAAAAACAATCACAAAAAAACAACAATCATAAAACCAACAATAAAAAAATACAAGCAACCATATAAACTAAAACAAATAACAACGATGAAATTGTTCATTTCCCATGGTGGGGTGTACCGGTTCTTCTATAAGAAAGGCAAAAAAATTAAAAAAGTACTCCCTCCGTCCTAAAATGATAGTCCTATATTTTCTTTTTGGGATGTCCCAAAATGCTGGTCATGTTTCCCTTTTTGGAAAGAAAAATATGGTCCATATCATTTCACTTTATTATACTCAAATCTCAACCATAACTTTTACTTTTTCAATCACTTTATTAAAACTTGTGCCCAAAAGAAATGAGACTATCAAATTGGGACAGAGGGAGTAGTATATACAGATTCGGTGGAGTGAAATCTGAATGGTCTGAGCGTGCAGAACAAAAATTCAGACGTGCCACCTCCGTTTTACGCTACAATAATTCTTGGTGTACACTATCTTATACACATCAGTACATCCTCGTGTCTGTGAGAGTTCTTTTTTGTCTGTGAATCCCAGTTCACAGACAAAAACATGTTTGTTTTGTCTGTGAAAATTTTTACAGACAAAACAAGCCTATTTTTGTCTATGGACTAGGATTCAAATAACTCTCGCAAACACGAGGTGCACAAAAAAGAAAAAGTTGCGTTATTTGGAATCGTTACGATACTACACTTATCCGTCAAACACCCCAGTGCACAAGCCCAACCCACCGAAACCCTAACTTTCTCCTCTGCCGGTTATAAGTATGACGACATAGTCACCATCTCCTATCAGCTTTCGTCCTCAGCCTGTGCGTTCATATTGATGTGCGGAGCTGGGAATGAGTTCATGGGGTTGATTTTAATTTTAATTTATTTTGTTATTTCATTCCTTTGAAGCTTCGCTATCTGGTTGGCGAAATATTGCAGTTTTCGCCCAACTCGTTCCCTAGAAGCTATATTGACCTGTGTTGCTCTGGTTCTTAATCATATGAATGTCCATCATTGTCTCTCTGCGGTTGGACCACGCTAGGGCATCAATATTCGGATCTGTTTATACTAATTAATTATCCGTGATGGTTTTGCTATGGGAAGAAGAATCGATGATGATCTCTACAGACCTGTAATGATGTGCGAGGATGATCGCAACTCTTTATGAACATCTAAGGGACTGAGCTGTTTTTCTTCTTATTCAATCCCAATCGTTAATTATGCATGCTTATCTGAATTTTGAAACTCAGCTTTGAATTGTTTTTGTTGGTTCATTCCGATTTTGATGAAGAACCGAATCTGTCGAAGCTAAGATTGACAAGGTTTCCCTCGCTATCCAGTGTTTGCATTGAGCATTTGGACGTTGGGAAACTACATTTTCTTTTTAAATTTTGGATCTATTTTTCCTCTCATAAGAACGATTTTCATATTCAATATCAATTTCTTTTCAAAATTACATCTGCCGTAGCAATGAATCCATTTGTTTCTGAGTTTGAGAATCCAGTTCTTCAGAATTGGGAGATGGAATTGCGAATTCATAAGCGAAAGAGGCCTTCATAATCCCAAATAAGCCTTTAATGTCTATTTGATTCATGGGAGGCCCAAATTAAGTAATTGGGGGTTTCGCTGATGACGCCCTTCTATTCTTTCCTAATAACGGCGTTTACTAGTTGCCTTTACCATACATATTTCTTCCCTTTGCTTGCCTTTGTTGTGCCAATTTTGCTTGGGTTTGGCTTTTCTGAATGAAATTCTATACTAAATTTATGAACCAGCTCCCGCTATTGAATAATTCTGTCCAAGGCAATAAATTAGAGTCTCTAGAACTCCTTGCAATGGTGTTTATAGCGCTGTACGTTGCCAATAATAAAATAGGTGCAAACAGCTCTTGCGCTTCTTATATTGAAGTGTATGCTTGTATATGTTCCCACATGTTCTTTATGGGTTTTGTCAATGATCAAAATTAAGAAATTCCTACTTTCATGTGTAAGCTGGAATCCCTTCTCATTAACAGAAATAGATTCTAATTGCCGTAAACAATTACCCAAATACTAGCAATAATTTATTATGAGGTTTGTAACACAAATGTAAATTTATATTCCCCTCAGTTCCAAAATTATCTTCATAGTTACTATTTACATGGTCAATTCAAATTACTCTTCAAACTTTTACTTTATATATCAAATTTTTATCAAATTTAAAATTTCTTGATCAGTCATCGTAGCGGATTTAATGTAGTTTCTGAATATGTAAATTTAATTTACTCAAAATAATTTGAGTGCGAACACGGATCAAGTTGTTTATCGTCAGTCAAACATCGTAAGCCGAACTATGAAGATAAATATGAGATCGAACTACGAAGATAAATATGAGATGGAGGGAGTAATATAGGAAGACATGGGATGTTTACTTGGATTGTTGCTGCTTGCTTTTGGGTCAAGGTATCTGTCACGCTAGGATACGTACGTCCCATGAATAATCGGAAGAGTATCCATGAGGATTTAAGGGTTTATGGGCCAAATCTCATTGGGTTATTAAATTAACCTAACAATAGTAAATACTGTCATGTTACTATCTTACTACAAAAAGAAAAAACATAACAGTCATATATTGGAATTGCAAAATATGTTTACTCATTATGAGAAGTTTCCCTCATTTTAATTACATCGTTACTTTTATTATTAATTTATTATGCATCCATTTTTGCCAATATCTTTTTCATGAATAGTTATAATTCAAAAATTCAAACATTCTAATATATAAATAAAATTGGATTTTTTTTGAAGGGGTTTCAATTATACTATCGAAATGAAACTTACAAAAATATGACTAAAACAGTTACCATCGTATTATCTCATAGTCATTTAAATGTGAAAATTAACATAAGTTATTGCTACGGTATCAACACTTAGCATGTCCCATTTTAGTAGACTATTTATTTTAATCTTATATACTTGGTATGCAATTTTTTCTTATTTTTTGTTTTTCTTTCAAACTTATTCTAAAAAAAGATGAAATATGTAAAAAGAAAAATAATCATGAGATCTTAATTTTACCATTTAAATCTACTTAAAAAGAATTTTAAATCTACAAAGCTCAATATCGAAATCTTCAAATTTTTCTAGTGTATTTGGTTATATGAGTTAGCTAAAATGTATTCATACTTTTATGAATTCAGGAGTATATTTTAGTACCCAATTTATTTTGGTAATATGCACATCACTTGTCCCAAAGACGCAAATTATACCATGCAACCGGCGCACCATGAGAATGGTGCTTCCGGTTGCAAAATGACGCAGCTTGCTCCCTCCTCCCCCTTTTTTTTTGCTTTTGTTGTTAAAAAATGATAATAACTTTTTTATTTTTGATCCGATTTTTATAAAATTTATATCAACATTTTTTATTTTTCATGATCTTTCAAATGAGACCAATATTTCTTATGTAATTTTAAGAAATTATCGAACTATTATATTAATGAGTATTGGATTATAAGGAAAATCGAATCTGTTTGGGAGATGATAGGTTTGTGAAATAGAAGATCGAATCTGTTTGGGAGTGGATCAATGGCCTCAGTTACATTTGATAATACATTGAGTTACATCTTTTTATTAGCGAGTTACATCTTTTTATAAGCAAGTTACATCTTTTTATAAACAAGTTACATCTTTTTATAAGCAAGTTACATCTTTTTAAAAGCGAGTTACATATATATTGATGGATAGTCTACCCGGGGGTGTATATCCGAAGGGTTATTACGGGGAATAACTTAGAGAGAAGTCAGAGCAAGTAAGTAAGAGTAGAGAGAGAGTGTATTCAGTATGAATGCCGTTTTCAGCGTGGTTTACAATGGGGGAAAGGAGTGCTATTTATAGTAGTAATAAATGCCAGATAAGGACACGTGTCAGTTTTCTGGTGGTCGAGGGGTCACCTCAACCGGGGTGGCACTGACACTCGCATGTGGCCGCATTAAATGCGGTGGTTGGAGGTGACGTTTGTACTTGGTACGGTGATCCAGGCGCATGTGAACAGGATATTCTGTCGGGGTGGATGCCTTCGGCTGAAGGGTGCTGGGCCGAAGGCTCTTCCAACCGAGGGCTCCTACCTGCCGAGGGCTGGAGTTGCCGAAGGCTTGGTTTTCAAGCCTTGTTCTCCTATGATGTTTCTGAGCTCGATTCTGTCACTAGTAGCCTTCGGCCATGGGGCCGAAGGCACTCCTTTGCGTATCGTGGGCTGCTTAGAGCTCCATTTTTCTGGGCTTGGCCCGTTTGGGCCTGTTGGGCCTGATTGTAGTAGAGGAAGTATGTGGGTCGGGGGTCCCTGGGCCATATACTCCATCAGGAGTCCCCCACTCCTTTTGCCGAAAGGTACTTGAGGGAAAAGGAGTAGCTGTGGTGATTTCCCCGAAGGCTTCCCTGTTCTGTTGGGTGCCTCATTTTCTCAATTCCCCCATATGTCGAGGGCTGAGAGCTTCCTGAAGGGAGTGTAAGTGTGTTGCTCGTATGTGTTTCTTTGTTGTAGTTTGTAAAGTAATGAGAGATCTGCATTTGTGTGCTTTGCTGAGGGCATTTGTTGACTGAAGGCTTTGTGTGGCCGAAGGCATCATGTGGCCGAAGGCATCATGTGGCCGAAGGCATCATGTGGCCGAAGGCATCATGTGACCGAAGGCATCATGTGGCCGAAGGCATCATGTGGCCGGAGGCATCATGTGGCCGAAGGCATCATGTGGCCGAAGGCATTGTGTGGCCGAAGACATCATGTGGCCGGAGGCATTGTGTGGCCGGAGGCATTCTGTAAGCCGAAAGCATCATGTCGAGGGGAGTAGATTGCCGTTGTGATCTTGCCTCAGCTTGTTGTAGCTGAGAAATAGAAAATTTTTAACATTTGCGTGTTTTGCCGAGGGGAGTACCCCAGTCCCCCACTCCTTTTCCCGAGAGTTTCTCGAGGGAAACAGGAGTAGAGTGATGCATGCCTTCAGCAGGAGCCGCCGAGGGGTGACGCCTTTTGTTCCACAATGAGGAGATGCCTCGTTAAAAACCTCATTAGGAAAAAACCCTGTGGGGAAAAAAATCCTACTGAGGGAAAAAGAGTACACCGGATGCCCCCAGAATGAAGCAAAAGGAATGCACCCTTCGGCCTAGATTTTTGAGCGATGGTTGTGTCCGTCTGTTGAGGGGATATCGAAGACCAGCCTTAGATCCTGCATGAAAAAGCTGAGGAGCTTGTAAGGACCCCCCGTTATCAAATAAAGGTGACGGAGGGGTGCAAGGCCAGGTGAGCCTGTGTGAGAGCCCCTGGCATCAAATACAGATGCCGGAGGGATGGAGACCGAGGGGCCTGTGTGATTGCCCCCGACATCAAATAAATATGCCGGAGGGGTGAAGGCCGAGGGCCTGTATGATAGCCCCTGGCATCAAATAAAGACGTCGAAGGGATGAAAGCTAGGCTGAGGGGCCTGTATGACAGCCCCTGGCATCAAATAAAGATGCCAGAGGGATGAAGGCCGAGGGACCTGTGTGATTGCCCCTGACATCAAATAAAGATGTCGGAGGGATGAAGGCCGACAGGCCTATATGATAGCCTCTGGCATCAAATAAAGATGCCGGAGGGATGAAGGCTGAGGTACCTGTGTGATTGCCCCTGACATCAAATAAAGATGTCGGAGGGATGAAGGCCGATGGGCCTGTATGATAGCCCCCAGCATCAAATAAAGATGCCGGAGGGATGAAGGCCGAGGGACCTGTGTGATTGCCCCCGACATCAAATAAAGATGCCGGAGGGATGAAGGCCGATGGGCCTGTATGATAGCCCCCGACATCAAATAAAGATGTCGGAGGGATGAAGGCCGAGGGCCGTTGTGATGTGGAATCATGCTGAGGCCGAGGGCCGTTGGTGATGTTGAATCACGTTGAGGCCGAGGGCCTTTGGTGATGTGAAATCATGTAAGGCAACAACTGTTATGACATAGAGTCATGTTGAGGCCGAGGGCCGTATGATGTTGAGGCCGAGGGCCATTGTGATGTGGAATCACGCTGAGGCCGAGGGCCGTTGTTGATGTTGAATCACGTTGAGGCCGAGGGCCTTTGGTGATGTGAAATCATGTAAGGCAAAAACCATTATGACATAGAGTCATGTTGAGGCCGAGGGCCGTCTGATGTTGAGGCCGAGGGCCATTGTGATGTCCTCACGCTGAGGCCGAGGGCCGTTGTTGATGTTGAGGCAGAGGGCCGTTGTGATGTTGAGGCCGAGGGCCGTTGTGATGTTGAGGCCGAGGGTCGTTGTGATGTCCTCGCGCTGAGGCCGAGGGCCGTTGTTGATGTTGAGGCCGAGGGTCGTCCTCATGTTGAGGCCGAGGGCCGTTGTGATGTTGAGGCCGAGGGCCGTTGTGATGTCCTCGCGTTGAGGCCGAGGGCCGTTGTTGATGTTGAATCACGTTGAGGCCGAGGGCTTTTGGTGATTTTGCGACCGAGGGCCGTTCTGATGTTGAGGCCGAGGGCCGTTGTTGATGTTGAGGCCGAGGGCCGTCTGATGTTGAGGCCGAGGGCCATTGTGATGTGGAATCATGCTGAGGTCGAGGGCCGTCCTTGATAGTTCCAGAAGTCCTCTGGGTGTATGTTCCTTCTTTCAGGCATCGACCGAGGGGTTGATTCCCCGCCTCGGCCGAAAGGAGGTCCAAGTGATCCGTCCGGGGGTTCGTCTGTTAGTCCCTCGGCGCTGGGCCGTCCCTTGATTGTGCCAGGAGGTCGTATGTTAGTCCTCCTGATGTGTGTTCCTTCTTCTAGGCTTCGGCCGAGGGGTTGATTCCCCACCTCGGCCGAAAGGAGGTCCAAATGATCCGTCCGGGGGTTCGTCTGTTAGTCCCCCGGCGCCGGGCCGTCCCTTGATTGTGCCAGGAGGTCGTATGTTAGTCCTCCTGATGTGTGTTCCTTCTTCTAGGCTTGGGCGAGGGGGTTGCTTCCCCGCCTTGGCCGGAAGGGGGTCCAAGTGATCCGTCCGGGGGTTCGTCTGTTAGTCCCCAAGCGCTGAACCGTCCCCTGACCTTGGGGGGTCCCGTCATCTATTTACGGCGCGGGCTACGCTTGGTCGGTTTCCGACGACTGCCGTTTCACCCCCAAGTTTGGGGATTTCGTCACCTCAGCCATTCTTTCAGGCCTGTCGTCTTGCGTTGCGCGCCGGCGACGCGGCGAGCGTCCCGCTCCAAAAACGCGGGCCTTTTGCAGGCCCCTCGTCTTTAGAAACCATCGGCCATACCTGGGCATTTGGCCTCGAAGGGGCTGATAAGATGTCTGGATTGTGTTGTAGTTTACTTAAATTCATAGAAATAAGCGGAATACAAGGGGTGCGTTATTTGACAACGGCTTTGTTAAGATTCACCGCTCAAGGCCGAGGGCTCTAGGCCGAGGGGATGGTAATGTGCCTCGAGGTCGAGGGCCCAAGGCTGAGACTAACGCCGAAGGTGAGGAACATGATTAGCGGAGGTGGCGCTTCTTCGGCTGGGGCTCCTCGAACTCCTCTCCGTCACTGAGCCTCCCGATTTCATGTTTCTTTGTTGCGATGTCCCCTTCTTCTTTATCGGTGTTCTCCCCGGTGTTTTTCCTTGGGGAATTTTTGATGAATTGGTGGAGCTCACCCCGTTGAATTAAGAGTTCAATAGCCTTCTTTAACGAGACACAATCGTCTGTATTGTGGGAGGTGCTTTTGTGGTAACGGCAATAAGTGCCGCCTTGGTGGATGGCGTAGATCTCCCTCGCCGACCAAGGGTCCTTGGGGAAAAGGTCCTGCTCTTCCGCATAGTTGAGGATAGTGCTCACCGGGTGCGTGAGGGGAGTCCTCGGCATGTCCAGCCGAGGGCGCCATTGGCGTTCATTACGGCCCTGCTGGGTGTGGCTTCCATGGTCTCGGCCTCCGGCCGAGGGCACATTTGGGGCCGGCGTGTTGTTTATCTTCTTCGAGGGCTGGCCCTCGTTCTTCTTGAAGGAGTGGAGGTCGTCGGCGTCGGCGTATAGGCTCCCCCGCTGGAGTGCTCTGAGGTATGATCTTGGGGGGTCGGTGATGAGGCTCTGTGCGTAGGGGCTGCTGCGGAGAACCCCCTGGAAGAGAACGAGGACGGTACGCTCGTCGGCGCCCTCGACCTTGTCTGTCTCCTTCATCCACCGATCAATGAAGGACCGAAGTGTTTCGTCAGGCTGTTGCTTGACGGAGAGGAGCTGGGAGAAGTGCTTTCTCGCGCGCTTCCTTCCGGCAAAATGTGTGAGGAAGCGTTGGGCAAGATCTTGCCAAGAGTCAATGCTGCCCTCGGGCAATCGATTGAACCATTCGTATGCTGGTCCCTCCAAGGTGGAAAGGAACCAACGACATAAGTATTCATCTGATGCCCCCATCATCATCATGCTGTTTTGATACCTGTTGTAGTGCTCCTGGGGGTCAGTTTTTCCTTCATAGGGCTTGATGAGTTGCCCTCGGTACTTTTCCGGGATTTGGGCCGCCAATACCCTTGGGGTGAATGGCGTCCGGGTCCGGAGCTGGATGATGGGTTCCCCGGAGCCCTCGGCTACCTTCTTCTGTAATTCCTCCATTTTGGCCATCATGGCCTCGTATTTGAGGTCTGAATGAGGGGTGGAGGTGGTGGCATGAGCTTTGTCGGCCTCCATTTCATCAAGTCGGCGTTGGAGGGCCGCAATAATTTCGTCCCGGGGGTCCTTCGGGAGGGTCTCCGCCCCCTGCGAACGAACTCGGGCCGAGTGGGCCTGGTTGATCTGGTGGCGAGCATCGTCGGCATGAAGGGGTGTCTTGCCTTTGTCCCGAGGGGGACGCTCCTCGTCTGCCCTCGAGACAGACTCTCCGCTTTCTTGGGGCCCTCGGCGGTCTTGCCCCCCTCCGAGCCGGTTGAGGGCGGAAGTGCGGGGCCTTTCTCCGTTGTCATTGTGGCGGTCCCGGGACTGAACTTCCTGGGAGGCCGTGTCTTGGGCCACTACCCCTTCGTCATTCCTAACCCGAGGGATGGGGTTTCCGAAGGGGTGTGGCAGAGGGGGAAGTACGATGTTCTCCCCAACCTGGGGTTGAGCCGGAGCCAGGGTGCCGAAGGCATCCGGGTTCTGAGTTAGCGTCTGGATGAAGGCGGAGAGTGCCGAATGAACGTCGATGGTGAGGACCGGAGGGCTGACTTGGTCATCGCTCCGGTTTTTCTTCTTGGCCTCGATGTCGAGGCGGGCATCGGGGGCATTCTGCTGGATCTGAAGGCGTAGGTCGACAGCCGCCTGTTCCAGCCCAGCAATGACACCGCCCTCGGGAGCCTTGTGAGAGGCTTCGGGGGCGTTGACGTCGCCGAGGGCCAGGTTCTTGTCTTCTACGTTTTTGGAGTTGGCACGTGTTGATCTCACCATTTTGGTAGAGGGCTAGTGTTTGGCGAAGGGGAGGGTTTCTTACTTGATCGTTCGACCTCTCAACGATAGCACCAAATGATGGATAGTCTACCCGGGGGTGTATATCCGAAGGGTTATTACGGGGAAAGGGGTGCTATTTATAGTAGTAATAAATGCCAGATAAGGACACGTGTCAGTTTTCTGGTGGTCGAGGGGTCACCTCAACCGGGGTGGCACTGGCACTCGCATGTGGCCGCATTAAATGCGGTGGTTGGAGGTGACGTTTGTACTTGGTACGGTGATCCAGGCGCATGTGAAGAGGATATTCTGTCGGGGTGGATGCCTTCGGCTGAAGGGTGCTGGGCTGAAGGCTCTTCTAACCGAGGGCTCCTACCTGCCGAGGGCTGCAGTTGCCGAAGGCTTGGTTTTCAAGCCTTGTTCTCCTATGATGTTTCTGAGCTCGATTCTGTCACTGGTAGCCTTCGGCCATGGGGCCGAAGGCACTCCTTTGCGTATTGTGGGCTGCTTAGAGCTCCATTTTTCTGGGCTTGGCCCGTTTGGGCCTGTTGGGCCTGATTGTAGTAGAGGAAGTATGTGGGTCGGGGGTCCCTGCGCCATATACTCCATCATATATAAACACGAGTTGCATTTGACATGCATGAACGCGACTTACATATATTTACACGTAAAGTTACATATTTTTACACGTTAAGTTACATATTTATACACACGAGTTACATATTTATACACACGAGTTGCATTTGACCTATCTGAACGCAAGTTACATATTTTTTTACGTAAAGTTACATATTGTTACATGTAGAGATACATATTTATACACACGAGTTGCATTTGACTTGACTGAACGTGAGTTTCATATTTTAACACTTAAAGTTACATATTTTACACACAAATGTTAATATGTTAAAATTACATATGCAATATTGGTCTCATTTGAAAGATCATGAAAAATAAAAAATGTTGATATAAATTTTATAAAAATCGGATCAAAAATAAAAAAG